CCAACCCTCCAATATCTAGTAATATCTAGTAATTATTATTCTACTTTCTGGTCCACATTTTTTTAGTTTCTACATATGAGAGAATATGCAGTACTTTTCTTTTGTGTGTGATTTATTTTACTTAACAGTATATACCCTAGTCCCATCCATTTTGTTGCAAATGACAGGATTTCATTCATCTTTTGGGTGAAATAATACTACATTGTGTATATCTACCATATTTGTTATCCATTCATCTGTTGATGGGCATTGAGGTTTATTCTATAATTATTGTAAATAGTGCTGCAATAAACATGGGCCTGAAGGTATCTCTTTGGTATGCAGATTTCATTTCCTTTTGATATATTCCCAGAAGTGGAACAGCTGGATCATATGATAGAACTAGTTTAAGTTTTCTAAAGAGCTTCCATAGAATTCTCCATTATGACTGCAAAAAAAATTTGCATTCCCACCAACAATATATGGTTTCCTTTTCGCTACATCCTCACCAACATTTGTTATTTGGTTTTGATAACAGCCATTCCACCTAGGCTGAGACAGCACGTCACTGGAGTTTTGACTTGAATTTCTCTGATGGTCAGAAGTACTGAGCATGCTTTCACATATTTGTTGGCCATTTGTATTCCTTCCTCTGAAAAGTACCTATCCAGATAATTTGCCCATTTTATATTGGATTACTTGTAAAGAAAAAAAAAAGTTTTTTTTTTATCAGATTAAGCATTCCAGATTTTAAGGACCTTTTGTTTATACAGGTAACAATCAGTACTGTGCTAACAGGAATTTCAGAAAAATTAACAATAATTTTGTTTTTCAAAGAAAAGATGGCTTCTAAAAATGAATGAGCAAACTGGGGATTTAGTTCAGTAGTGTTGCTGCCTGCTTTGCAAGAGCAAGGACCCAAGTTCAAGCCCCAGTACCAATTAAAAAAAAAAAAAGAGCAAGAAATATGTTTTTCAAAAGACATTCATGCTACTGACAGGGTATGCTTGCATCAACTATTAAAAAAAACAAAACAAAACACTTCTTATCTGCATAATTGAAAAATATAAAACTGATTTTTCTAATCTATTTATAATTTTTAAATGAGTAGTTTCAAAACTAATAAAAAGGTAGGAACAATTAATACCAAACTAACTGAAAGATATTGTGCTTGGCTTTTTTTTATTTTT